AGAGAGAGAGAGAGAGAGAGAGAGAGAGAGAGAGAGAGAGAGAGAGAGAGAGAGAGTAGAGAGAGAGAGAGAGAGAGAGAGAGAGAGAGAGAGAGAGAGATGATGAGAGAGAGAGAGAAGAGAGAGAGAGAGAGAGAGAGAGACGAGAGACAGAGAGAGAGAGAGAGAGACGAGAGAGAGAGAGAGAGAGAGAGAGAGAGAGAGAGAGAGAGAGAGAGAGAGAGAGAGAGAGAGAGAGCGAGAGAGAGAGAGAGACAGAGCGAGAGAAAGAGAGAGAGAGTTAGATAAATATATAGACCGAGAGAAAAACAGACAAATAGATAGATATACAAATCAACAGATAGAGAGATAGACAGACAGATAGATCGAGAGATATCGAGAAAAAAAATGAAATCTTTACCCTAAAAGTTAAATTCCGGTCACGTGACATATCCATTTAACTAATCATATGCAAGTAAGATATTTTTCTCTCCTTTTAATGCATAAAACATTATCCACATTCATCACAACATATTACCTAATTCTTGTCTATTTTTTTTATCGATGTTTTATTTGTATTTGTTCAATCTTTCAAAAAAAAAAAAAATATATATATATATATAATTGATATGAAAAGGTATTATTAAGAAGAGTGATTTGAGATTTCGGGGCAATAGCAAGTCATACAGAGTTGATTTGGGAAGTATAAAAGAGACCAATTAAAATGTGGTATTCCAAGTGTCAAGGGAAAGTGACATACCTTACGCATACGCACTCTTACCCTCCCCCTCCCTCCCTCCCCTCTCCCCCTTTTTACACCACCTCTTCTTTTCCTACCCCCCCCCTACCCCCCACTTCTCTCTCTCTCTCCCTCCCCCCACCTCCTCCCTTTTGGCAAGAGCTAATGGCCCGTGAGATTCTCCCTCTCCCCCTCTCCTCCTTCCCCCAATCGTCTCACCCTCCCCCCCCTCTTTCTCCGTCCTTCCTTCCTTCCTCCTCCTCTCTTCGCTTCAGAAGCCTCCTCCACCTTCCCCCCTCCCTCCCCTCCCTCCCCCGGCCCTCCCCAAGGTCGGATGTATAAGGAGGCTGTTCAAAACCCCGTCGCCTGAGCACGAAAACCCTCGACCCAATGCGCCAAGCTTCGCGGAATCATCTCAGGCTTAAAAAGTCTGGCCGAACGTGCGATCGTGCGAGCGAGCGGGTGAGTGAGGCTCGGAGGAGGCGGGGAGGAGTCTTCGGGGGAGAGAGAGAGAGGGGAGAAAGCGAGGGAGGGGAGGGGAGGAGTCTTCGGGGGAGAGAGAGAGGGGAGAAAGCGAGGGGAGGGGAGGGAGGAGTCTTCGGGGGAGGAGAGAGAGGGGAGAAAGCGAGGGGAGGGGAGGGGGGAGGAGGGGAAGAGGGGCCCGGAGAAAGGGGAGAAGGGGAGAAGTGCGTGTGATAGGATGGATAAAACTCGATGCCAATCCGTGAGATCTGCTCCCCGCCCTCACCTCCCATGCGGACGCGGTTATGAACACCCAAGTACGTGATTTCCGTCCCTTTCCATTAGGAATCAACTTCAATATAGAGGCGGTTTTACACGCTGGTAAAGCGATAGCGCCGTCCCGGGCTGAGATGTGTCGCGCGCGCTCATTGGCTCGCCGCTCCCGGTAAGCCCCGCCCCTCCGCCGCCGACTCCACCCCGCGCGCTGGTAACTCCGCCCCTGACGACGCGCCGGAGATGAGCACAAGACGCCGTTCGTCGGTTTCTTCTGCCGAGATTCATTCGCGGTCGCGACTTGAGAGGACGCGGTGACTGGCCTTCCGTGTCCGCGAGCGCCGGTCAGAGCGAGACTCGAGTCACTGCCACTCATCACCAGTCCTCCTCCTTCGGGAACGACCCAGGGCGCGCTCGCCACAAGGACCTCCCTGGCCGCCATGGCCTCGTGGTGACGCGGCGGACGTGGAACGGAAATTCTTCCCACGGATCTATTTATTCGCCTTATTTTTGTTTTTATTTATTTGTTTTCGTGATTCGTTCCCGCGCCGTTCATCCCGGAGTGACAATTCCTGTTCTTCCACGGAGGATATCTTGGTAAATGTGAAAGAACGAGTGACACACGCAAGTGCTAGTGACAATTACCAGTGTCAACATTGCAACATTCGGCGCCATGACTTCGCTGATGTTCCCGCAGCCGCAGGATTCCCTAGGTGAGTGGCGGCCCTTCGCGCCAGGGGCTCTCGGGGCCTCGCGCCAGGGGCCCTCCAGGAGCTTGGCCCTGTGTGTGTCTATAGCTACGGTGTTTATATATGTGGCTGTGTCTGTGTGTGTGTATACATACATATTTATATACATATATATATATATATTTATATATATGTATATATATATATATATATATATATATATATATATATATATATATATATATATATATATAATATATATGATATATAATATATATATATATATATATATATATATATATATATATTATATATATATATATATATATATATATATATATATTATATATATATATATATATATATATATATATATAATATATATATATTCATATATACATAATTGATATGCATATGTATATTCACGCTCTTGCATATATATATATATATATATATATATATATATAATATATATATATATATATATATAATATACAATTGCAAATGCCCGGCGCCAGATCTCGTTCCATCCGGAGCGCCAGGCCCTTTGGCGACTTTTCAGCCTTTGCCGCAACAGCCAAAGGGCGTCGGCGAAAGAGAGCGAGGGGCCCGGCCGCTCCCTCCGCGCGCGCGCCCCATCGCCTCCGCTGACTTTGTGATTGGCACGGGAATTCTTTTTTAATCGTTCGAATGCAATCAATATTCGTTCGTAATTAGTTGGGGATGAGGGCAGGTCGTTGAGGAGCGAGAGAGGGAGGGAGAGAGAGCGAGAGAGGGCGGAGGGCGGAGCGAGAGAGGGCGTGAGGGAGCGAGAGGGAGAGAGAAGAGAGAGCGAGAGATAGATAGATATATAGAGAGATAGATAGATATATAGAAAGAGAGAGAGGCACAGGGAGAGATAGAGCGATAGATAGATAGAGATAGATCGACAGATAGAGAAAGAACGTGAAAAAAAACTTTTACTTCGTTCGTTTTTACACTTATCACTCTCTCTCTCTCTCTCTCTCTCTCTCTCTCTCTCTCTCTCTCTCTCTCTCTCTCTCTCTCTCTCTCTCTCTCTCCTCTCTCTCTCTCTCCTCTCTCTCTCTCTCTCCCTCCTTTGCCCTTTCTCCGCTCTCTCGATACCTCTCTCCTTTTTTTTGAGGTATTAATTATGCAATCGAGAGGATGTAGGATTTATTGCAATATCCTTCCTTCCTCTTCATGGATTTCCGGCGCTTCGATTTCGGATTTTTTGGTGGGGGGAGGGGGGAGGGGGGAGGGAGGGGTCATACACATACACGGGTGAGGGGAGGAGTGTGGTTATTCTCCTTATTAGAGGGGAAATGTGATACGATATGAACACAAGTGATATATCTAACGAGAGGAAGTCCATTGTTATTGTTCACCTAATCACGTGAGTGTATACATACGTACACATACACACACACACATACACACATACACTACATATATTTCTAAATAATGTATCAGATTGACACTAACTTCTGACTCTGCACTTACGCTCAATCGTTCAAATAATTTCGTAATGATAATCTCTCTATCATTTTAATTCAACCTCAACGGCGCTACTTACAACTACTTAGAACGCTCTATCATTAAGTTATATTTCATTACATTCCTGTGTAATGATTCCATGCAGTTTTTAAAAGACAAGATGGAAGCCCAGTCACAATATAGCATATGATAGCTTTATATCATTTTAATCCCCCTCTTCAATCTCATAAAAGCAATTATGTGTAATTAGTCAATGGTGATTACAGGGCTATTAAAGCCAAAGACAGTTTCCATGATTGAGAGAAGATCGATATTAAAACTTATGATATTCGAGCGAGAAATAAGTATTCCGACTGGAAAAGCGATTCCTAATCCATATTAGATATTGATTTGATATCCCCCCCCCCCCCCCGTCCCTCCCTCTAGTTAGGATATCTACATCTCTACTTACCGTAATTGGGTAATAAAGTGGAAGGATTATTCACATATATCAGAACAGGTTGGACGGTTACGGCGAGTGTCCGGGTTAAAAAAAAATGAAAGAAAAAAGAAAGAGAGAGAGATAGATAGAGAGAGAGAGAGAGAGAGGAATTGTTATTGTCTATAATTAGGATGTAAGGAATGTAGATTTAATTAAGTAGGATATAAAGGATATAATAGGATATTAAGGTTTGCTTTTAACTGTATATATTATCCTTGAATTTCGTTGTCTTGTCATAGATAATGTTTGGTTTTATAATACAGAGAGAGAGAGAGAGAGAGAGAGAGAGAGAGAGAGAGAGAGAGAGAGAGAGAGAGAGAGAGAGAGAGAGAGAGAGAGAAGAGAGAGAGAGAAAGAAAAATAAGATTGAAAGTAGATAGAAAAGACGATAGGGATAATAGAAATCAAAACGACCTTACACTATTCCAAAAAAAAGATAAAAAAACAACTCCCCAACCCCCTCTCAAAAAAAAAAAAAAAAAAAAATCTAAAAAAAAATAATCCTTTGTCCCGCAACCTTTCAATCACACATGATCTTGCAACCAGTTAAAAGAACCAGTGCAACAGACGAGAAGGGAACGAGCAAGCTTGCAACAAAACGCGTTGCATAATTGCACGCGAATTTTGAGTTCTGAGCGATGCAACAGATTTTCCTATTAATGTGAAGAGCTGAAGTCTTGCTAATGTCAGGTTGTGGTATCGCTCGAGTGGTTGTTAATTGAAGTGTTGTTAAGGAATGTAAACAGTGCTATGTGAGTTGTCTGTGTACGTGTGTGTGTGTGTGTGTGTGTGTGTGTGTGTGTGTGTGTGTGTGTGTGTGTGTGTGTGTGTGTGTGTGCATGTGTTTGTGTGAGGAATGTAAACAGTGCTATATGAGTTGTCTGTGTACGTATGTGTATGTGTGTGTGTGTGTGTGTGTGTGAGTGTGTGCGTGTGTGTGTGAGTGTGTGCGTGTGTGTCGAGGGACGTATGGAAGAGGGATCCGAATGAGTGTGTAAACGTGTGTGCGTTTCCTATGTGTGTCTGTATTTGTGTGTGTGTGTGTGCGTTTGTGGGCATATCGCGTGAGTATGCGTGTGGCTTCTACCTCGTCTCTGAATGTATAATGTGATTTGATAGAACAAAGTGCTAAAACTTTTACTGTCAGGTAATTTCCTAAGAGTATAACCCCCCCCATCTCCCCCTCTCTCCCTCCCCCACACTCCGATGTTGAATGCGAGTTCTGTCTATCACGCTATCTATTTTCTGATAGTTTGTATCTGTTATTATCTGTTATTATTACTGTTATCGTTATTTTGGGTATATATATTTTTTTCTAGCTTATGGAGATCAAATTCATGAACATATCACAGCGACGGATCTGAGTAGAACCAGGCATGTTACATGAATGTTCATGATAACTGATAACTTTATGTTTATATTTTTCCAAATAGCTATCGCGGCTTTTTTATATTTTTCTTTTTCGTTAAAAAATATCTATATCTATTCGATAGTGATAAATGAATCAATTTTTTGTTTGTGATAATATTGATAATTTTTTTTTTTAGCTCCTCTTCTCTCCTCTCTCTCTCTCTCTCTCTCTCTCTCTCTCTCTCTCTCTCTCTCTCTCTCTCTCTCTCTCTCTCTCTCTCTCTCTCTCCCTCTCTCTGTCTATCTATCTATCTTCTGTTCTCTAACGTTCTTCCGTTTCCCTTCTACTTTCTGTCCTTCTCTCCGGTTCCTCGCCCTCCCTTATCAAAAATGGATATAGTTATTCAATAAACTCAATCCGTGAATTTTTAGCAATACCCAAGTCTAGTTTTAAAATCAGTCTTTCCAGAACATACGATCGCAAGCTTCAGAGTTATCTATTATTACGTATAGAAAACCTTTTTTGGATATGTGTAAATTTTATGTATACTTTCTGCGCGGGGTATTCACGTATTCGAAATGGAATCCTGGAAATTTTATTTTTTTTCTTTATATTTACAGAGGTTTTCTCTCCTCATGATCCTAGCGCGATCCTCATGATCATGATTCTGGTCTCTCCTCATTGTTATTCTTTTCTTTTCTCATAATTGCCGTTGTTGTCTGTACTCACAATCTCAGCTCTCTTTCTTCACAGTCGCTAGTCGTCTTTCTTCACAATCATACTCACAATCACAATATTTTTACAGTTATACCTGCATCTCCTCACAATCTCTTCTACCTTTCCTCACAATCACACTTCCCTTACACTCACACTCATACCTGTCTCTCCTCACAATCACAACTACCTTTCCTCACAACCACACCTCCCTTACCTCACACTCATACCTGTCTCTCTCACAATCACTACCTTTCTCACAACTACTTCCCTTACGCTCACACTCATACTTGTCTCCTCACAACCACACCTCCCTTACCTCACACTCACACCTTCCTCTCCTCACAATCTCACTAACCTCTCCTCACACTCACACCCTCTCCTCACAATCTCACCTCTCCTCTCCTCACAACCGCACTCGTCTTCCCCACACACACTCACACTCTCCTCGCCACAACAGTTGTTATCTCTCCTCCCCGATGTAGTTTAGGGTGAAGTGTCCGACGCCGCTCACTTCCTTCCCCTGATTACAGTCCTGTAGAGTCGCAGTTAGAGTCATAACTCAAACGGGGGGAGGAGGAGAGAGGGGTGAGGAGGGGAGAGGGGAGAGGGAGAGGGGGGGGAGGAGGGGAGAGGGGAGGGAGGGGAGGGGGGGGGGGGAGAGGGGAGGGGAGAGGAGGAGGGAGAGGTGGGAGGAGGGGGAGGTGGGGGGGAGGGGGGAGTGATAAGCTCTTGTAATCACGGGGAGGAAAGGGCTCTCGATCCAATAGCTTTTACTCGTATTGTAAAGTATCTGTTTTTGGGAGAGAAGAGGGCGGAAAGCGTGAGAAATATGTGCGTGTGTGTAGAGAGGGAGGGAGGGGGAAGGAGGAGGGGAGAGGGGGATTGTGTGTGTGCGTGTGGGGAGGGGGAGGGGGGTTGGTGTGTGTGTGTGTGGGGAGTGTGCGTGCTTGTTTGTGTGTGTGTGCGTGTGTGTGTGTA